ACTTCTTCCTCAGGTTGCTTCTACATCTATACACCCTCATCCACTAAACAAAATTAAATCTGTATTTTCTCAGGTTTCTATTTTTCAGGTTTCTATCTCGGACGATTCAAAAATCAGGGAATGGTAATCAGATAGCTGATATTACTTTAATATCCTAGCCTAATATGTTCTTCTGCTCTTAGTCAGTTTACTGAGGCAGAAAACCTACTAGAAACCAACAAAACTCTAAAAAGGCATCATAACCCGAGATGAGAAGGTGGGGCACTCTGGGGCTATCCAGAGTCGATGGCCAAGGAGTAGGGAGATCTTCATGACCCTTTTATGGGCCACACATCAGAAACCTCCCTGGCAGTGCCCGTGCTGCAAGGAGAGGAGCCAGGAGCCAGGTCAGGAGTGGCCTGGTTTCCATCCCCAGGGCTTTGGACCAAAAACCTCAGTATAAATTGAGAGGGGCCTGCAACCTTCAGAAATAATTTATTGATGAAAGATGTTTCAGAAATGAAACATCTGTGACTTCTCATCTGCCTTAATTCTGCTTCAAAATTCATTCAACCGTTTCCTCTCACAAGACTCTACTTGCCCTCAATTTGTCATTCACCTCACACAAACCTTTTGTGACCAGGCAGTTGTCATAGGTTTCCCTTCAACTACGGAAGCAACGCCCCTTCTTCAGCTGTGGTTCCTTTCAGCTCTGTAATACTTTACACAACTAGAAATGATGCAATGGCCCTTCAAACTCAGCCTTCCATTGCACCTATCAGAGATTTTTCAAGATCCAGCTGGAAAAAGCCCTGAGCAACCTGGTTTGATCACCTGGTGTGTCCTGCTTTGAGCAATTGTTCAGGCCAGAAGCCTCCAGAGTCCCAGGACAGCCTCATTTATCCTGTGGACCCTGTGCCTTTATGATCATTGATGCCTTTCATTCATCTGCTCCATCCAAAGGACTGAAAAGAATTATCCATAATATTTTGCAATTCAAACCTATTTATGACGTATTTCACCAGCATCTTTATTCCACAATAATCTCCACCCTCAATCTATGGTATTCCTATGCCTCCCTCCCTTTTCCCTCTGGCAGTCAATGCTCCTTTAGAGCAATAACCTACTGGCTGCCTTTATGTTTCCAAATCACTCTTCCACTGAAGAATATTCCAACAGAATAAGAATGTCAATCTAAACACTGATTTTTCAATACAAAGAGATTTGAGGTGAGACCATTCTCCACACATCTTCTTGGAGAGTGAGTATTCCACAGCTCAGCAGCTCCTGGCAGTATTTAGGAGGGGGTAGCCCCAGGGCAGTCATTGTTTGCAACATGAAGAAGGTTGGCTAAAGATGGGAGAAGCTGTAAGGTGACCACTGCAGCTGTACAGGGGCTGCCATATCCCTCCCATTCCTGTAACAGCATTGCCTGCCCAGTCACCCCTTCTCTTGGCAGCCCCTCAGTTGCTGGGGGGAAGATGACTTGACTTGAGTGTCTGGGGTCACTGGCTACTGGGGGCTATTTGGAGAGCATCTCATTAATCACTAGACTAAAAGCCCAAGCATTTCACCTTTGGCCACACATCTGTGCAGTGAAGAGTCTGCTATTGCAGTGTCTAGAAATCAGTGTGTGTTGTGGGCACAAAAAAACAGTGACAAAAAGCCAAACCCAACGCAAGTTGCATCATTGTCCAAATACCATTCTTATTTCCATGTTTCAGGAAACAGTCTTCTAATCTAATCTTCTAATCCTTCTAATGCTCTCTGAAGGAAACTGTCCCAGCATTTGCCAGGACTTGTTTAGATTGGAGATTAGGAAATATTCTTCTTTGAAAGCACTGTCAAGTTGCAACCAAGAAAGGTTGTCAAGCACTGGAACAGGCTGGCCAGGGAAGTAGTTGAGTCACCATCCCTGGAGGTAGGGAAAAGACCTGTGGATTTGGCACCTGGGGACATGTATTTATGGTGGACTTGGCAGTGCTGGGTTAATGGATGGACTACATGATATAAATGATCTTCTCCAACCTGAACAATTCTGTGATGCTATGATTCCATGATTCTGTGACTATGTTATAACACCAGGGCTGCAGCCGAGATCAGGAATTTCCTGTAGATGGTTGGACCTACAGCAGAAATTATTTATTAAGTTGATAAGCTTTGCTCTGAAGATTTTATACTTCAGAGGAAAAGAAAAACACTTCAGGGAAACCATAAAATTGTACATTATCTTGTATGTGATGGAAATTGTCTTCTCTGACTGTTGCTGTACTCTTTAGATAATACCAAAACTGCATGTGCAGCTGCTACTTTCCACTAGATCAGTGTTTTTCAAGAAGTTATGATCTAGTGACAATTTAAATGCACAGCCACGTATTTTTCATTCTTGATTTTGCAGTAACAGTCATAAAATACCTTTTTTTTTCCACGTAATAAGAGTCATTGCTTCAAAAAGAACAAAACACTGTGATAAGACAAGCCACACAAGCAAGTGGCATCGATTAACATTACATGGGAAATAATTTCCTTCTGAGGATTTCTGTATGCTAAATTAACTTGAACAAGTAATTGATAGGCGGTTTTTCCATTGTCAAAGTAGAGCAGTACCTTAATAAAAGAACTTATCTATAGTCACATAAGAATTCTATAGTAAAACTAGAGACTAAATTTGTAATCAGTTTGTTGCTATATGCTCATCATTCTTACCGTGCAAAATTCAATATTTCTAACCTAACTGCATATCTATCTCAGTTTCCATCCAAGGAAACTACTTATGAAATACATTCTAACACTTTCTCCATCAACTGAAGTCAGCAGTTAACTGAGACCAACATGAGTCTTGTTTTCTAAGAGTGACACCTAGAGTCTCATCTGTAAAATTAAAGTGCACTCCTTCACTCATCCAGTTTTAAAAGGCAGCAAGCTTTAGTCCATACTTATTACTTTGAATTGCCAGTTTAATATATTTAATACCTATTATTTTGCTATGTTTTTGTGAAGATGCAAAGCAATTTTTGTTGTCAGGTAGTCTGCATATAGCATGTATCACTTACCACAACACTTTTGCCTTAGGGAAAGTCCTTTATTTTGCAGATGCTGTATTTTGGCTTTCATCCAGGAGTATTTAATTGGTTTGCAAATTTGATTTTCACTATTGCATGAAGGGATGTATCATTCCCAAAGGTACTCTCATTTTATAGACAAAGCAACTAAGAATCTGCAAAGTGTCCCAAGCCGTATGGACAATGAGGCTGAAATACACAAATCCTAAGTTTTATGCCATAAAATATCTTGATTTCTTCATCAGATGAATGGAGGCTGAGCCTTGCTGCAGCCTGGCCTCAAACCCTGCTGTGGGAAGTGTGCTGGCTGCCCATACCCACTGCAGGGCTGACCCCAGGAATGCAGTGTGGCAGGGAGGGTGTTACTTGCCCTTTTTAAAGGTCATCTGTCTCTTCATGTGTCACCCACCGACTGGATGTGCAAAATTTCCACAAAGGAAGTCTTTGGCTGTCACCTGAAACCATTGGCCATGGATCTTCCCGATTAAATGTGTCAGTTTTGCTGTTTGCAGGTGTCACTGGCTCCCTTTGGAGGCAGAGGAGCAGCAGTCCCTCCCACTCCCACAGACACAGGGCTCCCAGGTCCCAGCTACTGCTCCCTACCAGCAGCGAGTACCAGACAGTCATGTCTGATGAAGGCTGGAGAGGCCATGCCCGTGGTCAGTTTTCTATTCCATACACCAGAGTCTGGATAAAAAACACTGAAACTGAAAGCAAATCTGAATTTCAAAAACTAATGGGTGAGCTGTGTGAAAAAATCCATGAAAAGGATGCTGTGTTAATTAAAAGTTAAATTACATGCTCAAAACCACCATGACATCAAATTTTCCACTGTCCATCTAATTAACCATTTTGTCTCCAACCAAAAAAAAAAGTATTTTTCATAGCAACTCCCTTGTATTAGACATTTGCCAGAAGAGGGATTAGCTCAGGCTCATCAATGTCATCACACTAATGCTTTTAAATGCTCCTGAGGTAGTAGAACTGTGAGATTTGAAGATTTGCAGAATCTCAGCCCCATGGACCTGCCAAACACAGAGACTGGGAATATGTTCATCTCCTAGATATTTTCTCCTGATGAATCTTTTAAAATGTGAGAAAACTAGAGCTCCATCTTCATTCTGTACTATATGAAATACATTTTGGAAACCACTACCATCAACTTACATAAACTTCTCACAAATCATTTTACAATCCCAGTGAAAGCAATCCATTTATTGTGTTTTCTGAGTGTCTGATCTCATGTAGATCATGTGACATCTAAAGGTCATGCATGAGTCTGAAAAAATTTCTTTCACATTAATTGTGTATTTTTATTAAGGATCAATTATTACCTTAAATTAATAATAAAGATAAGCAGTATAAAATTATTTTTCTTATTTACATGTAGAATGGCTTGTGTATACAGTTATATACCCACAACCACAAGCCCCAAAAGAAATGTAGCTAGGGGGTGGGATTTTCCAAAGTGATCCTGGCTGCTTTGAGCTGTGTTCACACAGGGTGGCACCAGATCTTGCCCAGAGCAGATGGGAGGTTGTGCCTGGTCTGCAGGGTGGCAGGTTCCACGTTCTGCTGGTGCAGCTTGGCTGGGGGCTGCCTGCAGGCAAGCACAGCAGGGTGCTCTGACTGCTCCAGGGGCAGAACAGGCAAAGCTGCTGTGCCAGGCCAGCCATGAAAGCTCAAGAAAACCCCTCTCGATGCCACTTGTGTTACAGAGGGTCTCTTTCCATGCCAGACACGTTGCTCATCTGGCTGCCAGCTCATTTTCAGGCCTTTTGGGTACTGATCTGCTCTTCTCACAGAAGAAGCACATTGTCTGTCACCTCCTCATTCTTCATATGATGGTTTGTATGTAGGTCTGAATCCAGGGAAGGAGAATGTCCAGCTCATGGATGGCCTTGTAGATTCCCTGATCTCCAAGCTGTTGAGAAGAAAAAGGCATTAGAAAAGAACCAACTACAGCCCTTGAAAACGCAGTGGGGAGCCAGCAACTCCTGTTCTTACCTTAAGAAACATTCTCTTTAACTTTCTGACTGGAGAAGTTAACCTTGTGGATGGAGCACACGGAAGCTGAAGGATGAAAGAAACCCAGAGATGCTGATATAAAGGCATAGTGAAGAGGAAGAGTCCAGCCCACTCTGCCCCAGTGTGTAGGGTTGCCAGGAAAATGTGTGATCTCAGCATCATTTCAGTATCTCCCAATACTTCAAATGTGTTCTTCTACCTGCATGCTTCCTACCAAGTTGAGTTCACAACACCCAAAATTAGTACTATGTGTACCTCTAAGTTTTCTTATTAAACACTTTCTATTTATCTCAGGAATCTTTACGTAAGTTGCAGATACAGCTTTTGCACATTATATCCTAGCTCTAACATTCAAGGTCCTTTAACTCTGAACCCTCAGAACCTCTGAACCCAAAAGGAGGCAGGGTTAAGGGCCAAAGACCATTGCAAAGCACAGGGAGCAAATCTGCACATTTCTGCAAGCCCTCCAAATACGTTTAAAATGTTAATTTATGTTTTTTTCTGTTTCCCTGCCCATTTCTCCGCTGTCTGACTAATTACAGTCTGGAGTTGTCTCCTCACCACCTATCTCTGGCCACCCAAAGCTGTTCCAGCTGTTTTTGTAGAGTGACCAGATAAGCTTTCTGAGCAACATGGCTACCTGAGGATTGCCAAAAGGGAAGATACATTATTTTACAGAAAAGAAAAAAAAAAAAAAGGAAACATTTGATGTTTTCCAATCTACAAACAAGGACATGTTTGAAAAAAAAAAAAGGCTAAGGTCCTCATCTCAAAGCTTGGAATAGCTCATTTGAAATTAGTGGTTAGTCCTTTTCTATCTCACATGCAGTACTTTAAAAAGGAGCACAAACATTTTCACATTGCCTTTTGTGCTTCCCAAAGTTACCTCACATGATGAAAGTGGAAAAAAAGCAAATCTTTAAAAGATAGTGTAAATAAAAGTAAATTTTAAAAAATCTTCCAACCAGAGCAGTTCTTTCTAACTTGGAGCCTTTGTTTCCTTTAATGATCTCCATCTTGTATGAAACAGATTTCCACAAAATATCTTTTGATAGCAGAACTGACCTTAAATGAGTATGTTGTCTTTAGTGGTGATACACATTACAGACTCTTATCTTCCTGCATATACTGCAAGTAACTAAATGAGCGAGACAGCAAGTTAGAGTATTGAAAATATTACTGAGCTAGAGATCTAAAACTCTGCCTAAAATGAAATATTAAAGGCTCTGCATGGCAAATGCTGTCCTTCTGCACTCCATTCCAATATGAGAAAACATTTCCTCAATGTACTGGTGTGGGAACGTAAGTCCAACCTCAGAAGCAGCTTCACACTGTTCTCAGCAATGCTGACCACGGCACTCAAGAAAGTAATGAGGCCGGGGATGCTGCAGGTGGATGCTTTAAGAATCCAAGGAAAAATGTCATTCCCTTTACATTGCAGTCATAGTCTAAATGAAAAAGCCTGACTTTATTGCAGAAAATCAGTTTAGAGATTTTCAAATTTATTTATTTCTAAAAAACTGAACTTGTGCCCCCATACCATTGAAAAATATTAATGCTTCCTTGTTTGGACAAAACCAAGAACTGGCAGGGTGAGAATTGTAATGTTGTAGTATAAAGTCTTTGGAAGTGGTTAGGAGGAAAAAACTGTCAGGATTTTTAGGTAGCACACATGCCTCTAGCTGGCTGAGTTACAGCCTGAATTTGTGAAAAAATATAAGGTGAATATACCCATAAAGGTATCACTGTTTCCCTTAGTTGTGTAGAGAACTTTATTCTTGACAGGTAACAAATTAATTACATAAGTATGTTGTCATGGTGGAAATCCTTTCTGATAAACATCTTATAGCTCAACTATATAATAACAACTAAAGAGCTTATGTACATGGATGAATGAATGCTAATTTATTGAGGAATAATACGATGAAAAAATCTCAAGTTTACTATCAGCAAAGGATCCATTACTTTCACTCTATTCATAATTTTTCTTATTCTTTCATACAGTTTTGTATTGCTGGGTTTGAATTAATACAAACTTTTTAAAAAATATTAGTTTCCAGAAAAGAGGTATCTCCTAGAAAATCATGGCAAGCCATCATTTCTCAAATAGCTGTAGTTTTTCTACTATCAAGGACAGTCTTATCTGTCTTACCAGCACTTTTTAAGACCCAAAAAATTTAAGTTGTTAGGTTTAGACTTCTGTTGGGTAAAACACTGGCACTAATTATGAAAAGAATGCAGGAGCTCTGAGAAACCTGTAGCATTTTGTCTCCATATAGCACAGAAACAAATGTATTACTAAGCTATCTAGCAAGCCACAGTCCCTGGATATTCTGAATTCAGTCACAGTTGACAGTCTAAACTCCTGTATGTACTGGCTTTTGTATAGAATGTAATTGTTTTTCCAGACAAGAACGTAATCTCTATAAGGCATATTATACCACCTGAAATTATATTAACACATTCTGGAAGTACAGCATTATCTGGAATTTTGACAGATACAAATAATCACAGCAGTATGATTACAGCAGACTGCTGTGAATAATGGCTGTAAATCACAACTATTTAGCACAGTTTGAAATACAGAACCTGAAAGCTGGTGAAGCTTTCCCCCATTAAGATTTTAACCTTTTTACATTATGCAAATATCCCAGTTGAGTTCTGACCTATAACTCTGCAAAGAGATCTCTGCAGCTGTTTGTTTTCACATTACAAATATTTTTGTGCATGTAGAACCATTGTCCTTTTCATTAATGCTACCATGCAATTCAGATTAGACAAAGTTTCAATTAATTTAATTCATTAATTCATTGGTTAGCCATCCTGCTCTCACTTTTAAAAATCACAATAGATGTTTGCCTAGATATCTATGCTATACTTCACTTTAGGTCAGGCTCCACTTCCTGGGACACTGTTATCTGTGAGGACTTCAGGTTTAGTGGAGAAAAAATATCCATAGGATATTTAGTTTTAAGACACACCCAGTCGCTATTTGTTTACCCTTGAAAAGTAGATGAGAAATGACCAACAAGTGATGGCATCATCTTAGCACCCAACTGGTTTGCTAGTAAACATATTTGCCAAAGTGTGCTCTGACTGCTGTCCTGTTGGGAAAAGTGCCTCTTCTCTGGGGCACCTGGAGACATTTTGCCAAGGAGCAGCATCACTCTCTGACAACCTGCTCTGCCTGTGAGCACAGCTAATACATCAGAACTGCTCCCACGTGCTTCATAACTGTGGTACCTGCTTACTCATGAGACACCACCAGGTTTTTCAAAATTCAGTGTGGAGGAGCAGAGATGACTTGTGAGTGAAGATGTCACACCTGCAGAGGGTATGTTGTTGAAGAAGGAAAGCATTACCACTGTTACATCACTTGGAGCAGCACTTGTTACAGCAACTTGGAGCCACATTTCTCCCTGTGATCACCCTGCTTCTTGGACATTTAGTGAGAGAATGGCAGCACAAGGTGACATCATCAGTAGGGAAGTGGCTTGGCTCCATGGGATCACCATCACCTTGCACACTCCCCACAGGATCACTCTGGGAGGGAAGGAATGGGGATAAACTTCCCTGGGCCCAGTGGAAAGCCCTCGTGAAGCTGGGTCCCCTGTGGCATGGGACACCCCATGACTCTGAATCACCCTCTGCCTCTCCATCTGCTGAAAAACTGAGATGCAGCCCTTCCCTAACTTTCCAGATGGACAAAGTTAGCTTAGCTCTCAGGAATATACTCACACAGGCATCCATGTTTGCTTGCAGGACCTGGAAGGCAGTAATAAAGTACAACTTGTCACTTCCTACCTCAAGACGACTGAAGACATTTTTCATATAGAAGGAGAGGAGCTGATCTCGAACACTGCAGTTTGTCTGAAAACAAATCAAATTGGGTTTTGTTCAATTTGTTCATTTTTGTTCAATTGTTCATTTGCCAGATGAACACCTTGCAAGTCAACTTTGGCCTAAAATTTCAGCCTCATAAAAACATGCATGTTTAGAAAGTGTGCAATCAATAAAACCATTTTTATGAATTTTAGTATCCAATTGATCTGCTTCCCTTTGTTTTAAACAGCTTGATGTGCCTGAAGAAAAGGCAGGGGAGTGCTGTGCTGGCAGGCACAGGACTATTGGTAAGAACAATCATAAACAGAAATTACAGCAACCAATGAACTTAACACACAAAGAGTAAATGCAAGATAAATTGGGGAGTTAAGTCAGACCATCTTGGTCAAATTGTAGGAGTCATTGTGGGTGTCACTTTTCTATTCTTCCACATCACTGTCCCATGCCATTTAATATGCTGTCAGGTATCCGGCCCATCACCAACTGCTGCTCCAGAAAAGGCAGCTCCAGACCATCATCCTGTCAACTCTGTGTCATATCTGCCTGACCTGTGGCTTCTCTTGGACATCTAAAGGTGTTTCAAATTACTAGATGCCTATTTTTAGGCAATGGAATGAAGTGTCAGGTGTGAGATTCTTGTCAGGAGGGTAATGCAGCTGCAGATGACACCACTCAAATGTGGATATCTGCATGTAGATCCCACAGACAAGTGAGGAGCCTTCACTCTCAAGGTAATTGGTGAAATCCAAGGGACATCAAAGGCAAATAGGATAATATTTGGGGATAAACCAACTCAGCTGGCCCTGCTGACTAGATCTCTGCATGAAGAAAACTAACACTTACAGTCGCCTACAATTAGGCACCCCAAGGTTTGTTTCTCACTCCCATGCGGAATTGCGCTGGGATCTCTGATGCCCCTCTCCCAGTGCGCCTGCAGAGGTCTAAGCTCAGAGCAGCTCCGCTCCCTGCAGCATCCTCGGGCTCTCCATGGTGCTGCACACCCTCAGCTGAAGGTGCTCAGCTGCAGGACAGTGGCTGTGGCTCTGGCCGTCCTGTCAGGGCTGGTGCCTGAAAGCATTCCTGGAAGGCTCACAGCAGCCAGGGCTCACAGGAGGAACGAGTACAAGCACACTCCTCCCTGACCAACAAACATCCTCAGCCCAACTTCCCTGGCAGAGCACGGCTTCAGTTGCCTACAAGGAAGTGCCTCCAGTCAGGCTTTCCAAATCCACCTCTTTCTCCCCGTACCAAGATCAACTGTCCCTTCATGTTCAGGGGAATATCCCTTTCTTGCAACAGAAATACACTCTTCCTCTAAGCAGAGAACTTCATTAAGCATGTGACTTTCATAAATGTCTTTCTCAATTAAACACAAGTGATTTTTGCATCAGTTGTCATTGCTTTTGATCACATATTCCTGTTTCTATTGACCAAAGGAAAGTCAAAGTAAGAAAATGGAAAACCGGTAGTATAAATCTTACCATAAACAGCATTTTTGTAGTCTTTTTAAGCAGTCTCGTGGTCTTGATGAGATCCTTCTGTAAAATATAATGTGATAGTATTAATTAACCTGAGCAGAGGAAGGGAGACAGTTTCAAGTCTGGTTTGTACAAAACTTAGTAACAATAATATCAACATTCATTGTCTTCTTCAGATGTAGGGTGAGGACTCAGTTAATCTGTATTCCAATCCTAGCCTAGCTGCAAATTTCTTTCATGGAAAACTCATCCAGCCTCTCAATGCATCTTCTAAGCATCATTTTTTCCCACTTTTACAAAAGAAGTAGCTGCGTTACCCTGTCTCTCAGGACTGTAGAGATCATTCAACTTATTAGTTTCCAGAAGCTCAGTAATTAAACTAATAAATCTATAAATAAAATAAACTTTTTCAATTAGTGGGATTAACTTACAGGAACAGATGATTTTAAACTAGTTGCCTTGATATACAGGTTCTCTGTCACCTGGGAGAGGAGTCCTTTTCGGCAGGTATGTTTTCCTGTAGGTGACTTTTTGCCTTCCACAGCAAAAAGACAAAGCAGAAACAAAAAATGCCCAGATCTGAAAATAGAACATCCTTTCATCTTCACTCCCAAATCTTCGAGCCTCTACAGTCACAGCAGCATGTGTGATGCAGCCAGACTGGTTAGATGACAGAGGTTAACCTAATTTTGTTAACCCTCAAAGTAGCTTCTTCCCCGAGATGCTCGCGTAGATAACCTATTGCTCATGTGGTGGCTGATCTGTATTTTTGCTGCGCTTTTTTATACATCTTGCTCCACTTTCAACAAATTTGACCACAATCATCTGTGACGTTTTTCTAAACGATATCTCCATATTTACTGGTAACAGGGTCAAGGTTTCCAAGAAAGAAGAACTTCCCTATCATATGAGAAGTCTTTCATTTAAGTGGTGGTCAAGTGAAGAAAAGGTAGTTGAGCTCTAGTTTAGTTTCGGAACGAAGTATGCCAAATGCGTTTTGGGGATTTTTTAAATTTTTCCACAAAACTTTATGGCAGCACTTTTCTGAAAGGTAATGGCCCAGAAAGGAAAAAAAACCTTTCCTAATTTACCTTGAAAAGCATTAGAAAACGTGTTATTTATAAGGAAGCTGGACTGCACGGTGTCTAGAACGTCCCTGTTCAGTTTTTGAGAAAAGTATTTTTTCCAGCGTATAGCATCTACTAGCAAAGGTGTTTGCTGCCTGTTTTAAATTCTGTAGTCTTTTTCCAGGGCATACTTTTCCAGGCAGAGCAGTAGGCTGCTTATTGTGGAAGGGAAGGCTCCAGGGAGGGCTTTGTGGAAGGACCAAGGCATCCTTGGCTATGAAGTCATTTTAAAAGCCCACTGAGAGTTGTGAGCGCTGGGAAATCACGTGCAAGACCCCAGCACATCCATCATAGAGGTGGTAAAACTGTAGAAACTGATGATCACTCTTCTACAAAGGTGGTCAGAGATTGGGCAATCTCTGTCTCTGGCCTGTTTCCAAGACAGTCAAATGCAGTGGGTTTCTCAGGTGCCACTCCAGACAGGCAAGAACTCCAAGAACAGACTTGGAAATCGTGCAGTAACACAGCCATGTGAGGCTGTTAGGCCAAGGATGGTTTTAAGTCAAATGTCAAGATCCTAGAACTGGCTGAGGTGTGTGCAAGAAGACAAAGAAAGCAGGTTTTGGTCTAGAACAAAATACCATTGATACCATTTTTGTTGGTAAAAGCAAGCCCTTGAAATATTCACAAAGGACAGATTTTTTTATTTGTATAATGTTTCAAAAGCAGCATAGAAAGCCTTAAACAGATCAGAGAAAGTGGTTTAAACTACAACTGAAATTCCTTAAATTTGACCACGATCTGTCAGATCCAGCAGCAGAGCTGTTTGTCCCTCTATGTCCACCAGCATGCCTGTGCCCAGGATATGTGTCAGCTCTGGGAGGAAGAAAGATGAGACAAACTGGATAATTAATTCACTCCAGCCCCAATCCCACTGACCACTCAATCCCACTGACCATTTACACACACAAGCATGCATGCAGCCTACAGGCCAAACAGGGTTCTTCAAGCATCCCACCTATAACAGCTCTGGGAAATGCATATTTCCACAGAACCATCTACACATCACAGTAGCTTCACCAGCACTAACGTGCTGATGGGGTCCAGGGACAAAAATGACCAACAAGGGGAGGAGATCTTAGACTTTTGAAAAGTGGAGATGATAATGGTCTGAGGCTTTATGTGCACTATAGCACTCATGTGAACTGTGGTCTGTATTTAAACACTCTAAATTCTGATCAGGCTTGCCAGATGAGGTGCACTGAACCTCAGCACACATGACATGTGGACAGCAGATTAGCCTCTTATTGCTAGTTTGTTCCTAGAAGAGGATCTTGGGTGAAAGCAATACAGTCAGAATGCAAAACTGCCTTGGTGGGGTACTCCTTGGTCAACAGTCTTCCTCTAAATGGAATAAATGGGTCATGTAGCCAGTCTATAGCAGCTTTTCATAAGAAAATCAATAATGTTCAACATCTCTGAAATTTCTAATGTTGCTGGAAAACCCTTGAGCCCACAAGTTTCATTTTGTCTCTTCTGTGAACTTCTATCACCGTGCTTACAGGGCTGTAAGTGACACCTTTTCACTGGGCTCCAGACACCTCTGGATGTGATTCAGTAAATGTCTTACTGAACTGGTTAACTTTTCAACTGGGTAGTGTAAAAGGATGCAGATGGTTGCAAGTGCAAGGTAGCCATCCTTTAAAAAAGAAATAAAAATAAAATAGGGCTTTCCTATCACTCCTTTCATAAAAGAATGGGGGCATCCAATTAATAACAAATCCTATAAAATCAATTACACTTCCACAATTTTTGATATAACGATTTGATTTCTAGTCAAAAAATAGCCAATGTTCTTCAACTTTTTCATGTGTTACTTTTTCAGAACAAAGATGGTCTTTTCTTTCTGGGTCTTGTGTAGCACTTTGTACACTGTACTTTAGTGCCACTTTGGTGCTCAGACATAACTATGGTATAAATAATACAGAATACCAAAGAACCAGTATTACCCAGTATTCTAAAGTTTTAAGAAGCAGAAGAAAAACAAATTCATGGATCAGTCCTTTTAGCAATGAAGACAGAAAATACCTGCAAAGCTTTATATGAGCAGCGAAACTGATATATCCAGAGATAGTCTGAGGACAACAACGAAGCACATCACAAAGCATGTTGACTTCCAGAGAATTTCAAGAACCCTGCCCCAGAGGAAATGGGCTTTCTCTCTAATGGAAGATTTTAGATATACACTATGAGCAAATACTTCAGGAACAATACAATTCTGACAGCACAAGTTAAGTTCACATGTTACTTCTATACAGAATGTGTAAAGCTTATGACCATGAAAATGAACAAGAAAGAAAATAACTAAGAAAAAAGTGTAAGAAAAACCACCAGAGTAGTCAGATTACTGGCTAAGAAAATCTTGCCTGATTTACCCCGTGTAGGGACTGTTTCAAAGAAAGCTCTGTGTGACCTATGTGAGTGCATGAAAGCAACAGCCTGAGGAAGATCCTTTCTTCCCTGCCTAATTGTGAGCCACAGAATTGTCTTGATCTACATGAGCTTAGTAGATATTAACATTAAATTCTCTTGATCTACCACTGCTGCAAAGTCCTGTTAGTCCCTTTAAGGTAACAATCACATTTACTGGTTGTTTTGCAGCTTAAATGGCTTTTTGATCTCCATCCACAAAAAGCCTTGTCTTCTTTCTTATGAATGTTCTCACTTTTCACAATTTCTGTTTATTTCATTTCCTGTTAGTATAACTAGAATTAAATGTCATGTACTTCCTATGAACGTTACTCATATTTGCTTAACTGCTGCTAATGTTATGCTTTCTCTTAAGACTATTCTCTACTATTTCTTTTGTTTCCTTATACTATTTGATTCACTTTGGTCTTCTGAAAAATAAGAGGTCTTCATGAAGAGGCGTAGTACTTGTCCTCAGAAACATGATTTAATAAACCATGAAAAGCTTAGAGAGATTTTACAAAAACTGAGGGTGACAACACTAATGCTAGCACATAAAAAATTGAGATACCTTAGTACGTCCCCTGTAGAGAGTAATTTGGAGAAGAGAAGCTCCTAGCATTCAATACTGAGTCTGCAATTTTCTAAAAATGGTTGTAATGAACACATAGGTAAGCCCTAAATACCTGCCAGAGTTAAACTGTTTCTTGTGACCTTCTATTAGTAAAATAGGAACCCTTCGAGCTGCTATAGATTTTGTACAAATACAGAACTATTATGAGCCAATCTTTCAGACAAACTACACAAATTACCCACACAAACTCAGGCACATAGGCACCCAGTGATCCATTACCAGCAGCTTCAGTAGTCATAAACATCAGGGGAACAACTGAATTGCAAAAAGAGATGGTATACCAGCAGCTACAGCTTACACATTATATCCATACTGCTCTGATTAGGAAAAATAAACCCATATAAATGAAATAAGGACAGTGCAAAGAAAATTAAAATCACCGGATGTCAGACTAGTGCTTTTCCCATCCTTACACACAGAATCCCTATGTTTGTTCACTCGTTTTTCATGCTGCCTGTCTGGGTCCTCCTCAACTGCCTTTGCCAAAGAGCAAAGAAGATTTAGGTCAGAAGTGACCTCTGGAAGTCATCTTGTGCTACACTCCTGTTCAAGAAGCCACCTACAGCTGCTTGCCTGGGACTGTGTCCAGTCAGGTTTGAATATCCCTGAAGAGGAGACTTCACAACTCTCTGGTCAACCTGTGTGAATTTTTGGTCACAGTAGAAAACTGTCTTATGTTCAGGTGGAATTTCGGGGATCTTAATTTGTTCCTATTGTCTCTGGGCACCACTGAGAGGAGCCTGGCTTGCTTCTTTGCTTCCTCTTTTCCGGCATTTGTACACACTGGGGACATCTCCTTGACTCTTCCCCAGCTGAACAGTCCCAACTCTCACTGCCTCTCCTCAGACAAAGGACTTTCCAGTCCCTTAATTATCTCTGTGGTACTTCATCACCAGGTCCACAAATCCAATTCTCTCAAAAGTTTTTCACTCTATGCCTTACATAAATTTCATTAAAATTTTAAGGTGTTAAGTAAAGCAGAAATCAGACTCAAACCCAGATGAAGAAGACAAACTAAACCAAATTAACCCAAAACAAAGCAAAGAGCCCCAAACACAATTACATTTTCCCTGGGCATTTGCACCCCTTTGCACTTTATGTATAACAACTTCTGAGTAAACTTCAAATGTAAATTGCTATAAAACATGCTGTCAGTCCTCTGTCATTCTCAGGACTGGTTCAAGCGGTGGATTTCTCTGTGTTACTGGTCTGCTTTGGTGTTTCAGTTTGGTGGAATTGGCGGATGGCTGACAATTATCTGTCAGGTTAGTTTTACTTCAGAAATCTGATAGGAAGGTTCAATACATCCAGTCTTTTTAGAGACAGATTACAGAGTATACTCAGCTTCCAATTTGAAACAGCAAGGTACTAGAACTAAAGTTTTGCATTTGTGCACAAAAATAGACAACAAACAGAAAATAGTTTTCTAAGC